TTGCAATTTAACACTGTGTTTTGAATATTTACTGATTCTTAGAAGTAATTAAAATTTTTATATATTTCCCAGGAAATCAGTCATATTCATACCTTTTTTATAAACTAAAATAATATATACCTAATCTGAACTATATATAATGAATAGCTACCGGGTTGTTTAGTAAAACGCATATATCACTAATTAAAAAATTAATTTTTATTTCCTTTATTTTGTGCAGAAGTTGGACTATATCATAAATAAATAGGAAATTTTAATATTGAATGAATTACTCTCTATGCACAAAGAAAGATATAAAGGGTGACCCTATAAGTTCTTCTATAAACCAAAACTGATGGTTTGGATTTGATCTCAAAATGAGGAAAAACGTGAACTTAAACGAGAAAATTGGAAAAATACATTAAGCGAACGAGAAAGGAAGTGCCAAAACCTCGGAATAGATAAAAAGGACCAGTTATATCCATTATATAGCTCAATGAATGTATAGTAGATAGATGAACAGAATATTTCAAAATGCTGCTAAAACGGGATCAATTGCAGTTTAGATGATTATGGTGAAAACCACTTTATTTTCGATTGCTGAAGGTGCACCTTGGGACTATATTAACTTTGAAGATGAATATAGAGAGGTATATCGAGAAAGTTATAGCTCATGGCTTTCCTTCTGTTTAGTGGATTTTCAAAAGATTTTTTAAGGTATCTTATATTAGTTGTAGCTCGCTATTCTTCTCGTTATTCTTGAATTGTTCGGAATTTGTACCATATCATAAAAAAATAGGAAATTTTAATATTGAATGTATTATTCTCTCTGCACAAAGAAAGATGGAAAGGGCGATACCAAACTGCTTTGACAGTTTTGCGCGTACATAGGCAACAAGCATATTAGAAAATAATATGAAAGGACTGTGGTTTTTACCTTTACAAGAAAGGAGATACTACCCATCAAGACCCATTCCTGTTTAGTGTATCAAACAAATTATACACAAGAATCGTAGAAGCTGGAATAAGAAATATTGTCGATTGCCAGAGCGATATGGATTGAGAAACTCAAGTTGCACATTGGAAGAGAAGTTGAAAATTGGGGCTGTCTTCACTTTAAGGCAGGTTATAGAGAAGTCCACATAAAAAGAAAAATAGCTCTCTATCTGCTCAGTGCCTCAAACTTTGGATTATGCTAATATCTAACTGTCTTTCAGAAAAACTCGTTTTCTTTTTAGATCCCTTAAAAAATCTTTTGAAAATCCACTAAACAGAAGGAAAGCTATGAGCTATAACTTTCTCGATATACATCTCTATATTCATCTTCAAAGTTAATATAGTCCCGAGGTGCACCTTCAGCAATCGAAAATAAAGTGGTTTTCACCATAATAAACCTACATCGTCCACTTAATATCATCTAAACTGCAATTGATCCCGTTTTAGCAGCATCTTGAAATATTCTGTTCATCTATCTACTATACATTCATTTAGCTATATAATGGATATAACTGGTCCTTTTTATCCATTCCGAGGTTTTGGCACTTCCTTTCTCGTTCGCTTAATGTATTTTTCCAATTTTCTCGTTTAAGTTCACGTTTTTCCTCATTTTGAGATCAAATCCAAACAATCAGTTTTGGTTTATAGAAGAACTTATAGGGTCACCCTTTATATCTTTCTTTGTGCATAGAGAATAATTCATTCAATATTAAAATTTCCTATTTATTTATGATATAGTCCAACTTCAGCACAAAATAAAGGAAATAAAAATTAATTTTTTAATTAGTGATATATGAGTTTTACTAAACAACCCGGTAGCTATTCATTATATATAGTTCAGATTAGGTATATATTATTTTAGTTTATAAAAAAGGTATGAATATGACTGATTTCCTGGGAAATATATAAAAATTTTAATTACTTCTAAGAATCAGTAAATATTCAAAACACAGTGTTAAATTGCAAACGTTAAATAAAAAAAAATCAAGATATTACAAATATTTTTAATTAACTTTTATTATTATAATTATATCATTTTTACAATTGAGGTATTCTTAAACGACCTACGTATAAAATAAAGGAGGTTAAAATTTAAAAAAATTATAATAATTTTTTTTTTTAATTAATTTTTTTTTTTTTACTATAAAATTATTGCATTAATATTTGTTCGTTAATAAAACCAATATAATGTACCAAAAATGGTATTATATCACTATAACTAAGCCATTTATGGGCACTGAATGGTGTGGTAGAGGCCTGTAGGCACCCACGCCAGTACCGCTTTTCTGCCGCATAAGTGCATTTTTTACGGAACTACTTAAACATTTGTAAAAAATAATCAGCGTTTCAGAAAGAGAAATATATTCTCCAGATGGTTTATTTCAGCACGTTTTGCGTTATTGTAGGCCGTTTAATTACAAACGACGCTTGATTTGTAACTTGAAAATTTTTTTGTTAAAAAAATTGAGTTTACTGGTGTTTTTCATAGCCGTAGACAATTATTTTTTAATATTTCTTCATGTTTTATTATTCTATAACTATTCAGCTTTAATAAAAGACCAACTATGAGGAAATTAAGCTTAATGCTGATTCTCAGTGACCAAAAAACTAACTAAAGTCAAAGTCGTCAATCCGCCATCTTTGGACGCCATTTTGGGGCAGTGCGTTCACTTTTTTTTGTGGGAACATTGGCTTTTTTTAAATAAATTGTTACAAGGAACACAACGATATGGTTTGGGTCCCTCACTCTCTAACCGAAGTCAACTTGGCAATAAGCAATTCTGTTCGTGTTTCACAACGGAAATGACAAGAAAATCAACCCATTTTTGAATAGTTAGGTAACAAAGGATGAAAAATGGATATTTTACGATAATGTAGTCCGCAGAAAATGTCAAAAACCAGATTGCATCCAAAGAAGATAATGTTTTCCATATGGTGGTAATTCAAGGGTGTTATTATCTGCGAGCTATTGCCATCAGGGCAAACAATTGATTCAACTCTATACCGCTCACAATTAACAAAATTGGATTAATCAATTAAAATTAACGCCCAGAACTGGCAAATCAGAAGGGTTTGTGTTCCACCAAGACACCGCTAGGCCACACATCTCATTGGTCACTCGCAATAAATTATTGAGCCTTGGATGGGATCTTTTGCCCCACCCCCCTATTCACCAGACCTAGCTCCAAATGACTACCACTTATTCCGGTCTCTGCAGAACTCAATGAATGGAAAGAAATTCCAAAAGAAAGAGGACATCAAAAACTACTTGTATCATATTTTAAATAATAAACTCCAGACATTCTATGAACATGGCATTATGCAGTTAGAGGAAAGATGGGAAAAGTCATATTAAATAATGGTCAATATATTGTAGATTAAAATAAGTTTTATTTGGCCCTGAAAAACCGAAAGAACTTATTTGCCAACCCAATATATAATCTACGAATATTTAAATTCTACTTCCGTTTGCACCGTATTTAAGAAGAAAGAGGAATAAAATTTCTTGGATGGGAGAAGGTTTATGCGTCATCGGCCTTAAGAGGGATAAGCAGACCTGCTATAAAGGTTCTAAAAGAAATCGATCTGTGAATAGTTCACATGAAAAAAAAAAAAAAATGGAATGCTTTCCTTCCCAAGTAGCGGGAAAAAAAAAAATAAAAACTCATCAATCGTAAAAATATGAAAGAAGGTATATTATTTTGTAGATTAATACATCATTTAAACACCCAATATGCAAAGAGAAGAAAAACGTAAATATGCATATACTACGCATTCAAAGCAAACAAAAAAACACGTCACCGCTTCATCGAAATTAGTGCGAAAGCACAGCCTAAGCATCAAGGTTAAAGTAAAATATTTTTAAAGACTCTGTTTTCATAATTTAAAAAAAAAATAGTATAATATTTTTGCTATCACACATACTTTTAAAATTAACAGGAAAATATTATTTTCTAAAAAAGTGCTAAAATGCAGTAGTTTTTGACGAATATCTCAAAACAAACTTGAACTTCTGTTGGGATAACTTCAGTTTCAAATTAGGAACCCTCTTTTACTCTTCTCCTCTCTCCCCCCCCTCCGAAAAACCAACAACAAAAAATACGCAACTACAATCAAATAGTGTACTGGATTTTTTATACATAAAACTACGGTTTACCTTATACATTATTCTTTAACTAATAATATTACTGGGTGAAAAAAACATTAATAGAAAGTAATGATTGAAATTGTTTATGAAAACTCATCCATTCATTAGTAGTGAAGTACAATTGTCGATTTCGTCTTTCTTTGTAATTTGACTATGTTGTGCAAAGGTATTGAAAACAACATCTTTACGATTTAATATCAACAAAAAATAATAAATAAATATTATTATATTAAATCAAATACAATGTGCATTGAAAATAATAATTAAAGTGTAAACATATAATATTAAAGTGATTTTCTTCATCAACAAATATAAAACTTTAAATATTATTTCAATCATTACCCAAACTTTTATTTTATATTATTACAAACATAAAGTCATAATTATATAATATATATATATATATATATATATATATATATATAAGGGAAAACATTACTTCACGATAATCTTAAACTATTAAATGCAATAATCATTTAAGTAACCCTGAACCGAAATAAAAACGAATAATTCACATTAAAGGTATTAAAGTGTCGATTTGATATTATATTAATAAATGTTTAATTCCTCAAACTTAACAAGTACCATAAATGTTAGCCAAACAATTAACTCGAAAAATAAATTAACCTCTTTTTTACCGAACTAAAATTGCAAACTATTATGAAAACTGTTTCTAAAAAAGTAAAAAATACATTTTTTTTAGAAATACGTCTTGAAAGGGGTGCACTATTAAACTAAAATTATATGTATAGAGAATATATGAAATTTATCTTATGAAAAAAATTTCTAAATATAAAACAAGTCATCAACAAACTTTAATAGCAATTTCAGAATGTTATAGTTGCATAGAAACAAAAAATTATATGATTCGACTCACCTGCAAGAAGTGCCAGAGGAAGAACTACCCTTTGTAGGCACAGGGATACGAACCATCTAGTCATATTTTCAAGACTTTCCTAAAACATGGAATGCTCTTTCTAGATGAATTGTTTCTGAGGAATGACATTACAATATGTCAATAAATTAACATTCAGTCTGTCCTATAATAACAAACTAGTTACCGGTATTAGGATAGGACAACTGATAACAATGATAACAGGCACTGGAATGATTAACTTCAAAAATAGCACTGACAAGAAGAAGTTGAATTACCTTTCATCAGCTTACTAAAACCAGACTTCTTTCATTCATGAAAAGCATGGAGGCTGCTTTACATGTTAATTAAAAATTAAACTATCTACCACATCGCGCTAACATACGTATCATAACGTCAACGGAAATGATTTAAAATTCTGGCACTTAACACAATTCATTTCAGCAATAACTGAAAACTGACTAAAATAAATAACAACTCTTATCAAAAGAACTGTCGTTCCTAAACTTCGACAAAACACTAATGTCAAAGACGGTTAGTTAAGGAATGACCGCCTGAAATGGCAGCTGGTCTGAGTAGTGGGGGGTCGTTCGAGAAGAGAGAATCGATAGAAACCTAAGAATCGAGTTTTATCGACAAATAATGATTAAAACCATGTAATTCAGCAAATTCTGTTTAATTAATGTCCGTAACTTTTTTTCCATCCTCCATAATTTTTAGTTTTTTAAACTAATTACATAAGGTTACTGAATATAAACCATTAACCTATTCCAAAATTGTTTTTCCTAACTATCCTGACTATCCTTTTCTTCAATCGAGCTATTTCGTAAAATGGCGGCATCCATGGAACATTTAACAGCACGTGAGTTATGAATTAAAACTAAATTCACATATATAAGTTCTTATCTCAGTATTATGTATTTATGTTACCTCTTTTTCTTAATGTTTATCATATAGTTGATTGATTTTACAAATTTATATCTTGGTTTTAGAACTCCAAAACAAGTGTAATGATGGAAATATTCCTCTTCATGAAAGATTGGATGTTGCTCAGAAAGCATTTTGTTCATCAACGTTACCCATTATCCAAAAAGAAGAACAAGTGCTCTCATGGATTCTTGAAGTTTTGCAAGATGAAAATCTTGAAACTGTGGAGAGGAAGATTTGTTATGAGTCCTTACTTTACTGCTTCAAGAGTAACAGGATGAAAACTTTTAATGGAAATATTAGATCAAGCTTAATAACAAAAATACAACAGGTAAGAACCTTATAAAGACTTGTGACCTAATATAAAGCTTATAGGATTGTGAAGTTGACAGCATGTTAATACACAGAATGCTCTGTCAATAGCATCTTAGGTACCACTGTACAAATGTCTCTCCACCTTGTCCATTGGCCCAAGATCTCTTGTTCACTCTATAAATGTGATTTTGAAGAAAGTAAAGGATTGATAATATGTTTATTGTATAACCTCCCTTTATTTAGATCAGTGTTTAGGATTACAAAACTCTCCACAGGTCCTTTTCAGTTAAAACTGGAGCTTAATTACCTTCAACTAATCATTGCTTTCGTTCCCGCTCCCTCTAAGGACATATGCAAACCCCAACGGTTCCTTTTCAGTGGAGTTTGGGACTTTAATTAACAGTTCAGTCACTTCTGTTTACTTTCGAACACACTCTGCCATTCTCCAGATTCCATTTATAGTGTGAATAAGATCTTGTGCCACTGATAAAGGTAAAATGATATAATATATTCAACTATATGATATGTAGTTGTACCGTATCGTAATTAATGATGGTCTGGTAAACATGTTAAGCCTAATTTGAGTACATAATTCTATTAGCAAATTTTAAATTTTTCTACTTGGAGGAGGGTGTTAACATTTTGGAATCTATGATATAGTTTCATTTTAGTTTTCCTTCATTTATTAACTTTTCCTAAGATTTGAGTCTTTACCCTTACAAAAGTTATATTATAACCAGAGATTAATTTTAAAAGATCATCTAGGCAGATGTGCCGTTAGTTTTTTCTCTAATTCCTTGCCATTTCAATGAAATCATTATTTGTCGAATATAAAAACACCCAACTACTTAATTATATATTTTAAAATAGATGTACCATCTTTTGCCAGACCATCACCGATCTATAGATTGTATCTTTTCTCATAAAGTTCTGATTTTTGTTTGTTTTTGTTTTAGGTTCTTAAATATAACAAAAAATACCCTGAAGATCTGAAGAGTGTGATTAGAAAATGTTGTGTTGAAGTAGTCAATACCCCTTTTTTTCAGAGACTGTTTATGTGTGATGTGTATAGCATCTGCAAAATAACAGGTTATTATCTATTGTCAATAACCAGTGAGGAAACCACCGAAGACTTCAACAACATGATTGATCAATATCTTTACATAAATAAAATGTGCTTACTAAAAGGAGAATTTCGCATTTGTTTTATTAAAGAAGTTTTGATACCATTATGTTTAGCTCTAGTGCATTCACCCAAAGACAAAATGGCATCTTTTGAACAAAAAGCCACATCTCTTCTTAGAGAGGTATAGTTTAACAAGTTGTTACCTGATTTTATAGTTATAGTTATATATTATCTTGTAATGGGGTCATTCTCAAATAAATTGGGAGTTTAGGAAAATAAATTATTGATATTTAATAATAACGAGCTGGTTTTCAAAGTGTCTTTGAAGGTCCAGGTGAAGTATTTTATGAGTTAAGACAATTTATTAGTTTGCTCTGATTTTTTGTATATAATACACTAATTTTTCAACTTTGCAAGTATCCTATATTGATCATAGAGTTTTTCTCCTTTTATCTTTGTTCCCAAGTATAATCTACACCAAGTATTTTACTAGAATAACTCATCATAATCGTTAATGTTACTGTGTTCCAAATAGATTTTTTAATAATTCAAATTCTCTCAAAAAATGATTTATATTTCATGCCACCAATATATTCTAAAGAGAATTACTAACATGATCTGTTTTATTGGGAAAAAATTGTAAAAAAAAATACCTACGGTAATCATACACTTTCAGTTAGGAGTTCTAGTATCTTTATCTTTGGAATCAATTGGTTTTCATTATTAAATTCAATTGTCAAAACTTATATCCATTATGCCTAAATATAAGATTGTAAATAGATCTGTTCACTATTGTTAATATACTTTTTTTTAAACAATGGCTTTGGTCATTTGACCTAGTAAGTTTTATTAGGAATAACAGGATCAGTTGTCAATAAAAAATCGAGGTCTATAATGTCTCTCACCCATAGATTTAATCTATTTCCCTTTTAATCTATAAAAAAATCCACCAAATCTTTGCTGAGCTTTAAATGATTATTTTTAGTTATTTAAAAACATCAGGAGTTTTCCCTCAAACTGAGGAAACCTGATTTTACATCTTACATGTTTTCTTCAGTTAATGTTTATTTTCACTGTTAGTGTCCCATTATTTGCAATTCTATTTCCCCCACATGATTATTTTTCCATCAAGATATATATTATTTCCATTTTTTATTTTGTGAGGGATTCAGTGCTCCAGTTTTTGTTTTTATAAGAGATTTATGGTTTAATCTTATTAAAAAAATTAAATTGTTTTAGATTATTTCCTTCAAATGTTAAAATGAAGGAATTCGTTTTCCTGATTAGTATTACATTTCTTCCACCTTTATGGTTTCTATTCTATCTTGATTAGGTACCTCGATTTAGATATCTCTCTATAAAGAGATTTTTAGCCATTACCATTCGTATCCTATCTTTAAGTGAATCATGGAAAAAAAATAATGTTAACACTTTAATTTTTTTTTTATAAATCAAATCTCTAAAATCATATGAAATTAGAGAATGACCCCCATATACTAATTTTATATATGATTGTTTTAAAAATTAATTGGTTTAGAGTCGAGTTTTTAGAATGGCTTATTTTTGTATAAATGATATTAATTTAATTTGTATGTATGAGTAGTGCAAGTCAAATTATCTTCAGAATTTTGAGGAAAACAAACTTAATAAAAATGTAATAAATTTCTAAGCCAGAAATACAATTTTTGATCTTGATAAATAATTACTAAAATAATAATAAATAAATAAATCAGAAAACTATTGATATAGGTGTACTCTAGTGTCTTGGTTCATTTTTTTTTTTTCACTAGTTTTGTCATTTTATATTGTATTTCTGGACTTGAAGTTGAGAATGGTTAGAAATATGAATGACACCACTTTTACTCCAACCTCTTCACAAAGTAAAATCTGCTTTATTTAATTAACATCTCTATTTTATTGTTTTAGGTATTGTTCTATGAGCCGAAATTCATTGAAAATTTTATTGACATCAACACCACAAAGTCTATCGAGCCAACTAAAGAACTGAAGTCTTTTAACAAAAAAATCAAGCATATGCCTACGAAGCACGATCCTTCAGTTGTGGAAATCTGTTATTCCTTATTTTTAAATTCTGTCACTTCCAAGTACCCAGAAAAGTTTACTTTGATATTCAAGATTTTTACTCTGCTTACACCTCCTTTGGGAATCATAGTTAACCAAGTACGATCTATCGAAATGAATCCAGTCAACAATTGGCATATTGACAACAGTTTTATTGTTGTTAAAAAATTAGTAGATATTCTTGATAACAGTAAAGTTCCACTTAACTGTCAGCTTGAAGATGTCACCTTACAAAATTGGTTCACCGGTTTAGTAATAGGTTTGTGTAACATTAACAATAAAACTTTTAGTGCTAACTTCTTCGAGATGATCATCAGAGTGTTAGAATTTAATCCGTTAGTTATCGAGCCGTCCAGCAAAGCGTTAACAATGGTGATGTTGCAGATAAAATCTTACGAGATTAAGAATTCTTACATCAAGCTTTTTAGAACTGTTTTTAGTGGCTCTTCCAAACTTCAGAGACTTCAGAAATTCATTTCATTTTTCTTACAACACATGAGGGAATGTCTTATGGTGTCATGTGAGGATGATCTCACCCTTGAAGACGTCTTACCACAAGAAGTTGCCGATGAATTTAGTCAAGCAGTGATTAGATTACCGAATTCTCAGGTGTTGTCTGTAATGAAGTCATTTTTGTTTCACTTACAAAGAGACTGTCTCCCGTTAGTGGAAGCATTTGATACTGGTTAGTTTTATTACATTTGAAATGATAATTTTATGAGTTTCGATTATTAATATTATTATTTATAATTTATTTCAGACACATCTGTGTGCATAAATATGGAAGTGATTTGTGAGATGACTTATCAGTTGATTCAAGGTACTAACATTGCTGATCATAGTGTCCCAGAGATCGTTAAGCAAAAGTTCAAACATATTTTAGAAGAGATGCAAGTGTTACTGCGACAATTTGGAATTATATTTCAAGATATTCATGTAAGTTAGTTAATTTTGTGTAACCAACCTCTTAGTCCCTATTTTGACATAACATGGGAGGGAATTTCAAGCTTTATTTTTAAAGTTATTTCAGTGTCATGTTGATAGTTGGTCAATCATGAAATCTTCTCTTGTACATTTATTTTTACATTGTTATTTTATTTATAAATAATAGTAACGGTATATGTACGAATATAAATGTTATTTTTCATAACATAACACAAATATAAATTTTAATTTTTTTGTTTGTGTTTTGTACAATATATATATATATATATATATATATATATATATATATATATATGTATTTATACTTTTAATTTCTGCTTATTTTCAGGAAGATCGTTTGCTTCGCCCTTACTTACTAATCTGTAGAGCATTTGGTGCTATGAAGCTGTTATTCAGAGAATATGATAATATTCAAATAGTTGCTCCTACAGAAGTAGATCTTCGTCCAACTAACCTCTGCTATGTTCACAATTATCTCTTTCCAGACAATTGGGAAAAAATCGCTCATAGGCTAGAAAAGCATATAGGCTGCAAAGCAAGACACGAATTTGTTAGTATAAATTCCTTTCTTATGTATAATTTTTAAAATTTCCATGTTAAAATTATTATTGTAGTTTTTTTTTTTATATACACTTGGGATTAGCTTGATCAAAATTAGGACAAATAAGTGGGAGTCTACTGTACAAAAATAAGAAAACATATGTAGACTGTTAACTTTTATCGCTATATTATAATCTGATATGAATATGAAGCTGCTTTTTTGCTTGTTAGTCTTATTTTGCCCGAAACACTGTTAAGCTCTATCAAACATCATTACCAGTGGTGTATCCACTTTGGAACCCCTAGAACCCAATTATTGGCAGCAGCCACCATTGGATTAAATGAACTAAATCTAAGTATGTAGAGTTGTTTTCTAAAGGCTCCTACACACAACACGATTTGTCCCAGTGATACAAAAACCTTTGTTGGTAGTGCTATGAATCATCGTGCTCTGTGTGACTGTCATAATGCAATAGATTGTAATACAACTATATCAATAAGTTGCATTCTGTGTGTAGGTGCCTTAAGTATGGATAAATTTTTTCAAGTCCAAGCAGTAGTGTTTTAAGATTTGAGTATCTCTAGAACCCCTCCATGTAAAGTTAGAGTTGAAGTTTTATATGTAAACTGAATCGATGTTGGAAGAGTGCCTTTTAGTGTTCTTTACATTTTTCTTTTACTTTGGCATTGTTTTCCCAGTTTCAAGCTCCTTTACTTAGGCTAGTAGCTGACAATGGATTCATTTAACAAGCAGACTTACATCTTAAAACCATTTTAAGTTTTGAGTAGTCAAATTACATGTAGTTTTTTATGTTCTGTAGCTATTAGAGAAGTATACATACATTCATTATTAAATTACAGAACTAATTATTTCTCTAAATTAATAAATGGCTTTCACCTTCTCGCATATTAACAACTCTACATGAGCTTGAATTGACTTGAAAAATAATTAAATTTCCTTTGAGCCCTAGTAAAGTCGTTAATATGTGTGTAGGAGGAAAGAATTTGAACACTCCTTGGACTTAGGGCATATTTTTGTCTCTGATTTTTTAAATGTTTATGTTCCCCATATTTATATAATATAAAAAAAATATATATATATAGAAAATTACAATGTTTAATAGGTAACAAATAAATATTTATTATTGATTATATATATATATATATATATATATATATATATATATATATATATATATAAATTGAAAATGATTGTATTATTTACATTGAGTCTCTAATTTTGTTGGTAAAGAAAATACTAAGTCTAGGTTTCGGTAGTTCACTTTAAATTCATTCACCTACTCCTACTCTAAGTAAGTATTAAATGCTTCCATGGTATTTCTGTTAATGAAAAATAAAATGGGTGTAAAGAAATCTTCCAGTAAAATAAGAATTAATAGAAAAAAATGTTTTCTTTACCTGCTTTTAAAATTATCTAGAGAACCTTTACTGAATTAAAATTTGCTTTGTCATCCTTCTTTAAAAAATGACTAAAAAAAAAAAACTTCGATTTTTGAGCCAGAAATTCGACACTTTTCATGATCTCTGCTGCAAAAAAACATAAATAAAGATATCCCAACTTCTGGATAACCACCTAGTGTTAGTGTTTTCTGTTTAGAGACACCACAATATGAAGCAATTCCAGCAATATGTTCTGAGAAACAGATCCATTTCCATTCCGTCTTTTGCCAGTCAACTTTAATTATTTTATAAAATTAATAATTTTGAGGAAATAACTTTATTTAACCCTTAAATCTCCTCTCCATACTTCAATTCATTTTTATTTTTTTCGACGACGTTTCAGGCAATTTTGTCCATCTTCAAGTTGAAATATTTATCTATAATATTATAATTACAAATATATATGTGAAAGATATAACAACACATAAATAACAATCAATAAAAATTCCAAAAAGTCAAATTAATGAATTCATTAATAACAACAACAGGATAGAGACATATGCAAAAGGTTGCCAACCATCCTGATGAAGAGGGAGTGATTGTAATCGCGTCCGGTGATTATAAATCAAGTGCTCCCTGGATATCATCTACATAAGAAGGTAACAAACGATTACAGCTTATCGCCTAGAAAAGCCCAAATAGTATGAGAAGACTAATGTCAAAAGTCAAAAGAGTCAAGAGGCGTTAACTTGAAAATTGGCAAAATTTCTTAAAACTTCAATATAAAAAAAAAAATGAATTAAAGCATGGAGAGGAGGTATAAGGGTTAAATAAAGTTGTTTTCTTGAAAATTTGGAAGATTTAATTTTTTTCTTGATAAGATTATCGATAGTATTCTCTATTAATAAAATAAACACAGTTAATCTGTTCTACAAACAAAAAAGAGGAAAATACAACCTTAATGACTAAGTTCAGCTGCTCAAGCGTTGTTTTTTTATTTTTTATTCCTAACAATTTGATATTATGTATTCATCAATTTAAATGTTTCTAGTTTGAACTGCTGGTCCAGAAGATACAAGCCGTTGCCCAAGTTGAGGAAGGCTACGAGGGGCCTGGGACCCAGGTCGCAAGATACCTCCTCAGAATGGCGGACCTCCCATGGCTCTGGGACCATCTTACCGTACTCGCCCCACTTTTCCAATCAGCTGAGTTAGCCTACCTGGTGGAAAAAATTGTGGACTTTCTTGGCGATGACCAATCATGCTGGTTTCTTCTTCTAAAGGATGAAGCTTTTTCAGAAAATAGGTATCAAGCGATAATAAATAATAATATAGACTTGTCACAATTTATTTGTAAATACATTTTATTAAACGCTTTTAAGGAATTTACTGACCCACTTACCTATGTAAGTCTTGAGACCTCGTCTCCAATTTTACTACAACAAATTATCTTTAGTGAATTTTCTAAATTTATCTCTATTAGTTTATTCAGTTTTTTTGCATTACAGACCAACTCCAGTTCTGTCTGATAATTTTTTCTTGTCATTAGGTCAACTGAGAGTCTGTTTGTATCCAAGATAAAATACTTCATGCATGAATATTAATAAAATATCGTCATGTAAGTTCTAACACCACGACAATGCATTCTGGAATGACTAAATTCTAACTAAATAATATTAATTAGTGGTAGATTAAGTCATTAATGAATGCAAATATATATTCACTGCTTTGAGGTATTGTACAAACAAAGTTGTTAGTGTAACAAAATATTCATACTGTAGTAAATTGTAAATTGGAAGCTTTGTTTCTTAAAGTTACATTAATAGTTCAATAAAGTTAGAGAAAAAAATATTACCCCAACTTTCAAAAAATAAAGATGAAACTCATCAGAAATTATTCATTAGTCTCCCCATAATTACTTGTAAAAATTCTTGCGTCAGGTTTTGATTAGTGAGGGGGGGAAGGTTCATTTAGTATAGTTCTAAATTGGAAAAACTTGAGGACTAATTTACACATAGTCCAGGGTCAATTTTACCTAATATTATTGTCAGTGCGTTAGCGAATGAAATTTCTTTGACTAGTCTATATTTCAAAAACAGCTCATCACATAGACTTTATTCTTGAGTGGCAAATTATTTCCAAAAAATGATTAATCAGTATATATATCTTTCAATAGGCGACTGGTGCTTGCTGTTGGTTTCCATTTGATGGAAAAGGCCGGCGAGGACCTATTTGAAGGCGAAGAGGAATCTGTAAGCAATCAGGTGCTGTCGCTTATCGATCACGGCTCTATGTTAGAGTATGAGCTGTCGCAAATGATCACCGATGATGTCGATCTTAAAGAAGGAATTGAGCAAGCGCTTGATGAGATGGCTAATATTTTGAATGAAAATCTCTTGTATGATCCAGGAAGTATAGACCATATTCCCCATTTGAGGCAAGTAATAGTTTTTTAAGTTATAATCATGTTTATTTTCCATCTTATTCTTTTATTGTTCCTTTATATATTTTTCAATATTAAAATGACTTCATTATATACTATTTTGATGAATAAAGGAAGTAAGTCTAAATTAAAAAATGGTACTCATGAGTTTTATGTATTGTTATGACCTCCCGTGCCATCTGAGAACTGAGCAAAAGATGATAACTTATAGCTTTAAATATTTTAAGGGAGACAGAAGAGATATGACTTTGGTTTGAGGAATGATTATTATAGATATAACTCGACAAGGTAATTCTTCGACTTACCAACCATTTGTAAAATGGTTCTGTATCAATTTTATCAAATTCTAACCACTACTTTCAGATATTCATTCTCAAATATATTTGCTCTGTAACACCTATATTGCAAAAAATGCTCGATTTGACCCGAAGTTGGTAGAAATTTATGGATTGTAATAAGAAATCAAGTAAGATTTCAATTTTACCTAATTCCATCTACTATTTTCATGATAGATAAGCTGATAATATAAAAATAGCTCATTTCGCTCAAATTTAATGAAAAGTTGGGAAATATAATGTATAAATGGTCTAGTATCGATTTCATTAAATTAATGATACAACAATTTAAATTAATGTAATTGTTGAGAGTAGTTATGATATTTGGTAGGCAATGAAACGTGAAAAAGAAGGGGTTATATAAAATTTTAAGCTGTTGAGTCCATATTGTGAACATAACACCTACTGCCATTAATTCGATTTGATGAAATTTTTAACAATTGTGTGGGTCAATACCTAGATGGTTCCATATCAAATTTATCAAATCATGTATCGTTTCTTATTCTTAGTTATATGTTTTTACTGACAGATCCCTTTTCCTCAAAGTATTAACATCCCTTTAAAACTTGATGAATGACTTAATCTTATTGTAACTTACATCTTTTTTATTAAATGGGGCGTTTTGGAAACATGGTGATTGGTAAACTTTGTCTGTTTAATAAGGTATTTAAAACTCATAAACATCCATTTGCTTTCTCCTAATATAAGATAATCTGATCACAAAATTGTGAAAAATGATGGCCTACATAAATATTTGACCGTATCGTGAGGCCACCAACCCTCCCAACATGTCAAAATAACAAGGATGTGTTGGCCAAACGGCCCAGCATATTTGTTGGCCACCTTTTTCGTCAATATCTTACTATATAATTCGTATAATTATCTTACAATTATGATATATGAGTTTTTGTTAGCTCATTGAATTACTAAATGTAATAAGAAAACACCCAATTGCTGAGAATTTTTGTGGATATAAAAAATGGTAGTTAAAGAACTTGATATAGATAAAAAAAAAATCACAACACCCATTTGCTTTTCACTTGATTTATAAGATAATTTGTACATAAAACTGACAAAAAAGCTGGTCTACAAAAATATTGGGTCATATCACATAAATACCAACATGTCAAAATAAAGAGGTTATATCAACCAACCAGCCCAATATTTTTGTATGCCTCCACTATTTTTTGGTCTTATGATTCAAGCGGAAAGCAATTTTGAGTTTTTAGTATCTCATTAAATTAATAAATTTAATGAGAAAACGCCCCATTTCTACAAATTTTTGTAGATTATAAATTAGTAGGTTATGATAAGATAAAGCCATTCGCAAATTTTTAGGGGGATGTTAATAATTTGATAAAAAGGGGTCTGTATCACAGTATACAGGGGTCTGTATAAATACTCAATGAAATTTATTTTTCTCTTATCTTAATTTCAAAATTTTATTTATTAGTAACATATATGCATTATATGATCGTTTACTTATACACGAATATTATAGGTTATTCACTACTAATTTTCTTTCTATACTAATAGATAAGTTCTGTTACAGCCTATTCGAAGTACCCGCAAGACTTCCTCTTCACCACTTCTCAACATTAAACCAATGCTGTGCTCTTTTATCGGCCACGTCCCTACTTTTCCAGCTACCTCTCGATAGCGAAGCTGACATGTACCTGTTCAACTTGCTACTTAGTTAGTCTAAAATTTATACACTTTATAAATTTAATTAATTAAAAATATGCTTTTTAAGAAAATTTCTGACATTTTTTTATTTACAATTTCAGAAATAATGGATGGCCCGAAAAGAAATGACAAAGACCTCCTAGGTAAACTGAATCCAGGAAAGCTTTTAAAGTTCATTGCCAAAAGAGGTATAAACTACCGTGGCCAGAAAAAACTTATGAAAAGGATGTGCTTGAACACCTTCCATACCAAAGCTGCATCCAAGAAGTTATTCAAGCAGGTGTGCTCACCAGATCCTGAAAATCTCTGGGTTACTGCTCTTGTTGTCGACTCTCTGACCCAGGTAAGATTTTTAGAGTGAAAAATTATATATATTTTTTATATATATGTGTTGATAACCTTATGATCGATATATATATATATATATATTAAAATCGTGTTAATAAACATGCATTATCTGACCCAAATGATAATCGAATTTAATGATAATCTTGGGTGAATTTATGATAAACTACCACAAAACTCCATAGAAATAGTTGTAGTTGACATGAACTCAAAGGTGAAAAGAAAAGAAGTTTATTCTCCGACGATTGGTAAAGAAAGCTTGCACGAATATAGTAATGATAATGGAATTCATCTGATAAACTTTGCCATCTCGAAAAACCTGATAATTAAAAGCACTACATTTAAACATAATGATATTCATAAATATACCTGGACATCACCGGATTCACAAACATGAAACCAAATTGATCATGTTTTGATACAACAGAGCTGGTCTGGCAAACCAGTATAATTAATGTACGGTCTTATCGCGAAGCGGAATGCTTGTCGGACCATGAATTAGTAATCGCAAAATTTTGACAAAAACTTAATTATAAATAAGAGAAAAGAAAACCATTACGATATCGAGAATTGTAAATTGAAAAAATTAAAAAATCCATCAACTAGAACTCAAATCGAGATAAATGTTAAGAACAGGTTTGAATCTTAAGAATCTTCGGACGAGGACCACGATTATATAGATAAGTTATAGGTTAGGATCAGGGTTACTTATTAAAATGGTCGAAACTCGAGTCTTGGGAAAAAGGAAAATAAAAAGAACAAACCATGGTTCGATGAAGATTGTTTTAATATGTGTAATAAAAGAAAAGCTGCTAATACAGGAAATAATGATCTGTATCCTCCTTCTGAGTACCACAGTGCTGAACTGTTAATAAAAGAACTGAGTAAAGAGGCAGTTGAAGTAGCTATCGGAAAATTAAAATCTTATAAAGCGGCGGGAACCAATAATATTCCTAGTGAACTAATTAAGGCATGTGGGGAAACTGGAGTTTCTAAAACACATTTATTGCTTATAAAGATCTGGGAGATTGAGAAATTGCCTGAAAAATATAAAGAATCTTTTGTTATTCTGATTCATATAAGAACCCAAAGACGGATTTTAATAACTAAAGAGGAATCTCATTCCTTCCGGTTCTACCGGTTTTAAAATATTTATATTAATTCTTACTAATTAAATCACTGGATAGATCAAGTAAATTATCAGAGACTATCTATGCGGATTTAAACTGAACTGTTCAACTATCCATAAAATGTTTTCTTTATGCCAAATATTGTAGAAAACATTATAGAGTATAAGTGTTTTTCATCAGCTGTATGTTGATTTCAAAAAGACTTACGATTCTATTGACCGCTGGAAGCTGAATAATATTTTAATTGAGCAAGGGGTTCCAAAAAAATTAGTACATCTAGTTAGGATGTGCTTGATAGAAACATTCAATAAAGTTAGATTCAGTAATTATTTATCCCAAAAGTTTGAAATTCGTTTCGGTTTAAAACAAGGTGATTCCCTTTTACCTGTCCTGTTTAATTTATCATTAGAATACGCCATTAGGGAGGTAATGCGTACCGAAAAAGGATTGAATGTGGGTGGAATAACACTGGTGCTTGGCTATAATGATGGTTCGGTTCTGTTAAGGGAAGACACAGAAACTATAAAACTAGATACGACAACATTAATGAAAGCCGGAAAAGAACTAGGGCTCATATTACACACGTATAAGACAAAATATATGGTTAGCTTTAAAAATTGCGATAATTCTGGTGGTATCGATATAGAAGGTAATATATTTGAATACATAGAGAAGTTAAGGTGTCTAGTGTCTACAATAACTACAAAAAAACAAATTGTAGAGGATATTAAGGTTAGGCTGAAGGCAGGAAATGTTTATTCTTTTTCTGTGACAAAATTACTTAGCTCACGCCTATTCTGGAACTTAAGAATTAGAATCTATAAAACCATTATCCTACCTACGGTTCTTTATGGATGTGAAACATGGTCACTTACATTAGGGAGTTGAGCAACGTGGTCGCTTACATTAAATGATGAGCAACGTATTATGGTTTTTGAAAATAAAGTACTGCATAGAATATTCGAACCGAAGAAGGATGAGTTTACGGGAGATTTCAGATGGTTACACAATGCTGAATTGCGTGAATTCTATCCAGTTAATATAATTGAGATAATTACATCACGGTGAATTGAATGGGCTTGTAAAATTGTCGGACTTAGTAACGAAAGAATTCCTAAAAGGTTTATATTTGCTGTGCCGAATGGTTAACGTTTGAGGGGTAGACCGAAGCCAAAGTAGAAAGGTTGCTTTAATTCCGATCTGAAGAGACTTGGTTTGGATGGTGACCAGTGGAAGGAGGTTGGTAGACTGTGATTGGTGGTGTCGGCATCGAACCTTTGGGTTCACTAGGGCCTTATTATTATAACCTTATGATAAATCAAGAAAGAGATGGTTTGGGAATCTATCAGAAAAAAGACAATGCAAATTATTACACAATGGTTTATTATTTTCACACAGTTATATATCAAATGTAATACTACTTTCCTTGTGACGTAGTGGAAAATAAATAAAAGGTGATTCCTAATATTGGCCTAAATAATTGAACCTCGATTGCTTCAGTTGATGCAAGACTTTTCATAATTCAAAAACCGAAACGAAAATATAGACTTAAAAACAAAAAAGTGTATACTTTTTGAGTAATCCAGAAATCCAATATCATCATCCCTTGTTACATATTTCCAGCTTCATTTCGGTGAAATATGTTATATACTGTAATGTTATCGTTCCCTTCATAAGTAAACAAACAGTTTCTTATTCAATATATATTTATACTATATAAAAGCATACATTAATTATTATAACACTTATTTATAAATTTCCATTCTATTTGTCGGGGTCTATTCTTGGCGCGCATTCGATCTGTCCATTTATATTTTCTTCACTCACCCTGTGGTGCAGCTAATTCTCTTCTGCTGTCGACACTGACTACTTGGGGACCAACATCTTCTCACTGATCCTGGTTCCTAGTCGGCTGGCTACCTTCTGCCTTTTACCTTCATTCCTGTCAGTAGTTCGTGATGTCACCACCTTCACGCCAATATTAAAAAACACTGTAATATTGACATTACAATACATATCTTTAAAGGGCAGTATATTAGTCTGTAAAAAGCTGTGGACAGATTTTTTTTTATTCGGTTTTCAGATTCTATATATCTTGAAACGTAAAACTTCAAATAACTGGTATTTATTCTATACTGGCATTTCAACCCTCTACTTGTAAGTCTTCATCAGGGCTGAAATGTGGAGTCAGGTAGCTATCAACTGGTTGGTTGCAATTGGCTGTTGTAGAACTTCCGTAAATCCTCATTACAACATACTGAACTGGACCATAACGTTCTTAACGTTTTAGAGGCGAGCAGGAAGGACGGAATGGCCTTGAGAATGGTGCTAGATGACACTTCTCTGAGCCTTTGTGACACATAACTTATCGTTACCTGTACTGGTCACTTCAAAATTTTTATTTAGGGAATCGTTCCAAGCTTCTTTATTTTCTTTCTTTATCTAACTTTTATACAATTGAAATGTTATATTTTTATAATATGACCTATACAATTTTTTAAGACCAAAATGCACGTATATAAGTCTGTTTACCTACCTACACTCACCTACGGCGGAGAAAGCTGGACAATGCTAGACAGGCACTCTAGTCGCATAACGGCAGCAGAAATGAGGTTCCTTCGCAGATCTGTTGGCAGAACTAGAAGGGATCGCATTAGGAATGAAAGCATTAGAGAGCAGCTAGGAGTTGCCGAACTTAAAACTACTTTAGAAAGACGGCAACTCCAGTGGTTTGGACACGTCTGCCGCATGAATGAGAATTTGAATCCTATAAGGATATTAGAGGCTCGACCCACAGGAAGGAGACCACGCGGACGCCCCAGACTCACGTTCCAGGATTACATTCAAAGGATTGGATGTAAAAGAGGCAAAACCCTTAATGAGATGAAGCGACTAAGCAGGGACCGGGAAGAGTGGCTGCACTGGTTGAGGCTCCTCGACGCTAATTAATGGCATAAGAGGAAGACAAAGAAGAAGAAGAAGACCTATACAATTTTTCTTAATAAAATATTTTAAACCTTTATTTTATATACAATTGACCTTTTATAAATGTGAATGAGACAAAAACTAAAAACAAGACTCTGTCATGTTTACTCTTCAAAAAAAGAAAAACCCTTAAATATGTTGTTATATTACTAAAAATGGAAGTAATATGCATAAAATATTGTACTATAAATTTTTTCTGTAATTCATGCAATTAAATATTTACATAATATTGTCGAAGTCCTTATTATATTAAGCTCATATCACGTATAGATGTGTGTTCTAATCTTTCGGGCAAGCTCGGTTGCGTATTCCTTTGGTTCCTCAATTACAACTATTCTCCGTCACAATTTCTTATTTCTCCTTTAGTTAACCAAAAAATTATTTCATATTTTATATTTAACTATCTTTTATATTAAAGATTAATGTGAAATGATCAATTGTTTCAAATTAAAGGTATTTTTAAGCTAATATTCAAAATTAGCCATTTAAGCCCTGTTAAAAAACATAAATCAGAATAAAAACTACATTTTATTTAAAATTGCTTAATTTTAAACTGATATGATGAATTTAATCAAAATTGTTAAGAGCCGTTTTCCAGAAAATAGCAAAAATGTTTTTAGTCCATTATATAAAGTGCCACTTCCAGTTAGCCAATTTGACGAAGAAGTTGCTGTAACATTCCTAGCATATAAAAACCTTAAATATGCAATTTCACTTGTATACGACTTTTCTTTTTTGAGCTAGACTGTTAACACAGCCATATACACACACACATAGACCATTTTGCGGGACTTGGTTATTTGGACTCAGGGGACCTCAAAACTTGTATTTCGGTTGAAAACTAAGATTAAAAAATTGTCACGATCGCAATACTTACTATATATTGCATATATAGGTAAGTGAAAGTAAAAATATTAAAACTAAATAATTACATTTATTTTTATTTTTGCCAAAATTTTTATTTATTTTTTTTCTAAAATTTTATTTTATTTTTTACTGATCGGCTCAGCCATTCTTCTCTTCCATAGTCATATATAAGATAAATAGATAAGATGTTTTTTTTATTAATTTGGCTTTATTTGAAATGTATTGGTAGATCCTCTTATTCTTCTTGGACTGAACATATTTCTTTCAAAGGATCAGAAAAATCTTTGTTATAAAAGAATTCAAGTTATTGAGTCCGATGTTATCGACAGTTGACTTTATTTTAATTTTTTACATATATTGTAATAGGACCTGAGATCCGTATTTTTTTTAAACTGAAACAATTATATTATTTGGTATTATATGTTTGTTCCATGACATTTGAATCTAACTTAAAACAACAAATAGTTTCACTCGTTCATAATGTAATAAGTTATGTGTTAATAAAAATAAAAATAAAAGTAATAAATAATTCTTTGTTAAACCCTTTTCTTTTATTTCATTATTAAAACAGTATTTGAATAATATTTCACTTCATCATGATATACCTGACATCAGAAGATTCTCAATTGTTTTGTCAGACAAATACTTAGGATTAACTTTCACATTTGTCCAAGTGTCTTCTGCCACATTATTCATTTTCGTTACAATAGTTGAATCAGAAAACCTAGAATTTCAAATTAATTTAAACTTAAAATATACAGTTTAGTATATTGGAGCAATAGAAAAAAATGACAATACCTTGCAACAATTTTATTCCAGGTGTAGACACCCAGTGCGGCCACCATGACAAGTAGCACTGCCTTAATAAGTTTATCTGTCTTGGTTGCCTAAATTTAATCTTAGATATTTATTCTGTTATTTCTTTTAATTATGTTTTTATTCATTTCAACTTATTTGCTTAAGTTCGGGCTTATAATAATGGATATATATCTTTTAATATTCATAGTTGATTTTATTCCAATATAGTTATTTAAGCTGTTAATATAATAGCTTATAATTTGTTGACAGTAAAGATATATTAAGTGCAACTAATCATTATAAAATTAGTTTAAATCATTTTTTAATTATCATAAAAATCTGTTTCTCCTCTTAAAATGACATATAACTGCTACTGTAAAAAAATCATTGCAATTACCGGAAAGGTTTTACTTTAACCATTTTTTACTGAAAATTTATTTTCTGTTAGTTATACTCCTGTGCTTCTAAATTATTATTGTATTTTTTTCATTGTAAATAATTTTTGAACAAAATTACTGGAAAAATTGTCCACTTAGTGTAAGTAGATACTATTTATGTTTACATGGTGCTGGGTAATGTAAAATTAACTATATTCTATTTATTTGAGTACTCAATGAATGACAGTATAATATTGAGGAAAGAGATAATCAGGGGGAGGGGGAGGAGTAGTCATGAAAAAACTTTTTTTTAACTTTAAAATTTTTCGCTATTTTAAGTGTTGTCTCTTTTCTACTTCAGGCATACCAGCATATATTTTTCCTTTTTCACCCCTCTAACATGTCATCGCGTCAAGATACTATTTTGAATGATAGCTCATTGCAAAGAGGATGAAATGTTGAACATTTCCCTAATTACAGTATGCAGGTCCGATTTTTAGTTTGTGAAATATTTTAATCTATATCTTCAATAAAACTAGTTATCAATTGGTTTTCGACACTATTTTTTTCTTTTTCACTTCTCTAACATGGTGTCGCATTAAGATACAATTTTGAATAATAATTCATTGTAAAGAGGATGAAATGCTGAACATTTGCCTCACTTACAGTATACAGATCTGATTTCTAGTTTCTGAGATATTTTAATCCATATGTTTAACCCAACTCGTTCTCTTTTTCTAATTTAAAATAAAATAATAAAAAAACACGCATTTATGTAAACAAAACTTTTTATTTATTTCTAACCAAAAAATCTTTTATATCTACTAATATTTGAGAAAACAGATATTTTTCTTTAATTTGAGTGTGTCACATTAATTTTGCTAAATAAGAGTTTTTCTTTTATTTCCCCATTTAGCTGATCACCCATAATCTTTTGTGTATTCACTAATGTCTTTGAATCAACAGAGTGATGTGAATATTAAAATAGTTGTCAATAACATAACAATGAACATATGTTTCAATATTAGATAAATTATTACAATATATTGTGACGATACTATAATTAGCAAGTACCGCTTTTTCACTCACATTCTCTAGCCATTTTAGCCTGTAGCACTGGATTTACAGTGTTTGTAGTAAAATTTCATTGATTGGTCCCCCTCCTCTCCTGGAAGAAAGCCTGCACAACTCAAAAAAAAAAAAAAAGCTACTATATGATTATAAATAATTTGAAAATGTTTAATTTTTGAGTTGTACTAGAGCTTCCAAATTTCTCTACTCCTGTTCATCTTTTTAACATCAAAAAATATTTTAACATCTATTTCACATACCTTTCGAGGAATTTCTTTCTTCAGATTTATCTTCTTTGCTTTATTCATTTTCTGTGTTATTAAGAGCATTAATATCAAAGTTAATGTATGCAAATTTAATTATTAGATTTCTGATACTTCTACTTTCATTTCAAAAGGGAAAACAAAGAACATTTTCACACATATTTCTACTTTATTGTGTTCATGGTCATTTTATTGAATTTTTTGTTAATTTTATTTAAAACATATGTTTGTTATTTGTGATCTGAAAATTTAATTGCTAAAAATCATAGAAATTATAATTATTAAATTACATAAATTTAATTTTTATATATATATATATATATATATATATATATATATATATATATAATTACATACTATGTTATAAGGATTTAATTTTCTTTAGACATTATTTTTTTCTCTTAGTTTTTATTTTTTTATTCTGTGTTGAACGTGAATTTTCATCACCACTCACTAAGCATTGTGAGTAGATAAAATTTGTTTTTCTTAAATTCTAATTTGTTATTCGTGAAATGTATTTTATTTCTAATTATCTTCAACATACTTCTCGCTATGTGTATATGTATACTTTATTTTATTTTCTCTTCTCCTAATCTTTACGCATAATCACTTAAATATCTTAGGGAACATATGTATATCATTATTTGTTTTTTTTATTTTTTTTGTTTTAGTTTCTACAATTTCTTTCCCTACATATTAACAGTTATTATTATTTTTTAAATTTTTATATTCCATCACTACAATGCTTTACCTATAAAATAGATTTTACTTTCCTTTCTAATTTCATTCAGTGATTATTATGCAATTATTTTAGCTCCAATATTGTAGTACTGAACCCCTATTACCCAACTGTCCTCGTTAATTTATCCTAAGAGCTTAATTAATACTTAATGTATTACATGTATTTTGTTATTATTCATTGTAATAAGTCTTTTGACCACAGATTTATAGTTAATATATATGAACAATACTGTTATTCTAAAGGGACCTAGTCCCAGAATAAAGATGATTTTTCTATTCTATTTCTATTCTATATATATATATATATTGAACTCTCATTTTTAAATTTATTATCTATTATCGACTTATAAGCGACATCAGCAAATGTTTATTCATATATGCAATATAATATTACCAAGATAGTCTCTTGGTCAAATCAACAATGGATTTCAAAAAATATAAAATAGCAAAAATTATTCAAAAGATCTATATGCCATTCCAAAGATCAAGAATCATTGCTGTTCAACCAATAAGATTTGAGGGAATTGTCTAGTCCTACCTAGAATGTTTTGGAGTCTATTCAGTTGTTTATCTACAGTGCACATTATAGAGTTTCAAGTCATTGAATCAGTTACTGACTTATGTTAGTGAATTCTTTGTGTAGGAGGTTTTTATCAGTGTCAAGGTTGTGTCATAATTAAATGTATTTATGTCATATAGAAGGCCTTCGCTAAGGATTGATTTAAATTATAATTCATTGATAACAATAATGAGAAATTTGGTGCGGTGCGCGCATCACTCTACTTTCATTGGTAGGTTACTGAGCTTCCAATACTAAAGGTCCCAGGTTCGAATCCCGGCTCATGGCAGACAAATTATTTATTCTGTTTCATTGGCCGTGGGGCCACCCTGGGTGGGTAAACCACTCTGGGGCACACCCAGCCTCTATAAAGTGGGTACCTTTAATTAAAATGATTAAGGGGGAAAACCTGGTGGTTGAGCATGATTTTGGTCAAATCACCTCCTTGCACAACCGTAGATCAAGAAACAGTGCTTTCTCTAAATTGTGCTGAACCCAAGACCCTTCATAGGTTGTAATGGTACAGGGTTTTTTGTTTTGTATTTTTGTAATCTATACAATTAAATATTAAATAATACTAGCACTAGCATTTATGAATGTATAAGTAAATAATATAATCAGAATCTGTTCACTAAGCTGAACCTGAAGGTGCGCTCAGGTTTCTTCGGCAGTTTTCGGCTACTCATTATCACCCTATTACCCTGAGCTAGCATGAGTCTCAATTCTCAATGCCATCTCTGATTTATCCTTTAGTTCTTAATCAATTTTTCATTCATTATCTGCACTATGACATCGTTAATTTTTTAAAACAAACAACATTATAGGTACTTTTGAGGAAGAAATTTAAAAAAATTGACATTTACACTCTGTTGGAGAACATCAGTGAACAACAAACCTACCTTATAATAAAAAACGCTTAATTGTACATTAGCATAACAAGTTTAGTCAAAATCGTTAAGGTAATTTTTAATAATATCTTAAAAATGTGTTAAATCAATATTATAATAGATATTTTTACAACTTTTCTTTGATCGACCTTTGAGCATTAAATTTAAACATAATTATTTAACTGGGAATAAGGTCATTTATATAATAAATGACCTTATTCCCAATTAAATAATTATGTTTAAATTATAATAAAGATATAAAGTGCCACTTCGATTTGCCAATTATTACAAAAAAGTTGCTGTAACATCCTAGGCATATACAAACCTTAAATATGAGTTTCCTACAACTTTTCGTTTTTTAGCTCGATTATTCACACCCACACACACAGACCATTTTGCGATACTTGCTTATTTAGGCTTAGGGGTCCTGAAAACATGTATTTACTTTGAAAACGCGAATTCGAAAATTTCGCAACTTACTTACAAATTGTTATAAACTTACTTGAAGGGCTTCCTTAAGTTTTTTACCTATACAAACTCCAATTGGCTATATCTTTGTTGATAATGGACCAATTTCGATGATTTGTTGTTTCTAATTATGGTGTTGGAAGTTCTTATAGAAATCAATAGAAGTGTACAAATAAATTAAATTCTTTATTCATGTAAAATAATTTTGTGGAAAAACCTTTAGATTAAATACTATTTTCTAAAGCTTTTTATTTATTCATTTTTTATAACTTATTTGTTTAATCTTTTTTTCTAGTTTAAAAATAGATATTTGGGCTCTGTTGAGGACTGCAAAAAACCACTAGAAAGGAAGAACTGCCTGGAACATCTTATTTCATCAATGGTACCTCTTCTTTGCTCCGAAATCCCTTCTCCAAACCATCTTTACAGTTATTCAATCGCATTTAGATACACCATCCAACACACTGCTGTAGCCAGTGACTACCTCCAACAACTCTTGCCCAGTCTCAAAGAGTACGTAGAATTTGCGGTAAGTTTTTTTTGTATGAAATTCGTTATCATATTATGGTTAAAAGGTAAGAGTCAGATATTTTCAAATATATATTACTTATAGAGATAGCGGATTCCTATAGGAAATCTAACTTTTTCACTTTGTGGAAACGTGTCTGTTATTGAGAAAATGAAAGGAATATATTATTACAAAATAAAAATTATAGAATCAGATGGTGATATTGTTTTAATATTTTAATATGTTTTAAACTGATGACTTCCTATCTTACAGTAATCTATCGTTCCCTATTTTTAACAATACCCTACTTATCCCTGTTAATCGAATCCGAAACCTAGGACTCCACCTGGACAAATGTCTAACTTGGAATCTATATATCAGACTGAAACAACAAGAAACCACTCAACGTTTCCCACTACTTCAGCGCTTACTAGACAAATGCTCAAAGCGTCCAATTAATACAAAAGACTGATATATATATGACAATAATAAAGCCTATTTGGAATTACAGACCAAAATCCTTTGTAAAATCATCAACGACCTTAATGTTTCTTATGTTTCCAATTTGGCCCAATCCAGATATCTGTCCTTTCATAATAAACTTCAGAACCATATAAATCCTCTTGTTTCTGACTTTTCTTTGATTCCTGTTAAACCTCTGAGACAAATGAAAAGAAGACCTGTGGTCTCCTAATGTAAATATTATTAGAACTCCTAGTGGGTAGTCTTTTCTTGTCAACAAGTCTTTTCATGTTATCATATACATTTGTCCATATTTACTAGATGTATTTTTATATTAATAAAAAAAAAAAAAAGGTCCCAGGTCCTGTCATGGAGAATGACAAGGGTCATGGTCTACAGGAAGAATGGACCTTAGATAGGATATTATGGAAAGAAACCATCCAAGGTTTAGGTTAAGGAAACCCACTATTAGTGGAAACTCCTGCTAAAAAAAAAAAACAACATGTACTGACACCAGTTACTTTTCGATTTAGATGTTTCTCCTTGAAATAATATATTAATTATTATATTACATATAATCTTATTTATATTATATTTTGGTATAATTATAATTATTATGAAATAGAAAAGGTAGCACAATAAACGTGCAATGAAAATATCAGAAATAAAAGACTCAAATTTATGTTGGGGTTATATGAAGCTGGAGAAGTAGAATATATATTATGGTTACAATTTGGCAATGAGAATAATTATTATTATTATTTCACGCGAAACAGCCCTGAAGGACTACGTGACTATGATACTGGTTTCTTTTTCAATTTCTTCCTTTCTGCCCATCTCTGCTTTCTGGACGGAAGTTCCTTACTGTCCACCACATTTCAGGAATTTCTTGTATTCTGTCCTATCCTCACATAATTCCTGTGTTATCCCAAGCCTCTGTATTTCGTGTTTTATTAATGTTCCTGTTTGTTTTAGAATAGTTATAATTATATATTAATATAAATTGGCAAAATGAATAAAAGAAATTAAAAATTTGTCTGAATTGTGGTTTTGTTCACTTAATTTTATATTGATAAAAAAATAATACAATCTGAACTACAGAATTCATGTAAATCACAGTTACACAATTTGAACAAGTACAATTAAATGAACAGTTGTATAATTTGTAAAATGGGGGTTGGTCTGCTGTAATGTAGACAGGGCCTACCCTCCTAGTAATAATAAATCTGTTATGTATTAATGACTGTACATAATATTCTTTCACATATTTTTTCAGATGACCAATTACAAAACAGGGTCACTGTTGATCGAGTCCATGATCCAGCACAGAGATGAAATTGATGATGAGGATTTCCCGACATCATTAATGTCTCGTACCTGGCAGCTGATGAGATCAGAACTGATGGAACCTCAAGAATCCGTATCGCACCTCATCTTTGAGGCATCTACCTATGAGGAATTTTTTGATATTGTTCCTGCTCTTCTCTCGGATACGGTAATCTGATCGAATAAGTTTACTTTCAGTATTCTTAGATATTAATTAATAACCTATATAAAGCTGAAGAATTTGTTTGTTAGAACACACTAATTCCAGGAATTACCAGTACTACTGGAAAAATTATTTTCGCATTAGATAGTCCGTTCATTGAGGAAAGCTTTAGGCTTTATAACATCAGAAACAGAGCAGTAACCATACATCGATTAATCAATAAAAATGTTGATAATAACACTAACACTAGCTTCTATTAAGTATTTTTTGCTAACACTTCTATAAATGTGTCGCAGGGATAAAATTTGAGTTGTTGGTGTTGACTAAGTAGACTGTTTTTCCCACTGACAACTGTATGCCTCCATACCTAGATCAGAGTGCAAAGTTAAAGTTTTCTATAAATATTGAAGGAAGTTAGTTTACTGTTCTACATATCATGGGTAATAAATATTTAGGACGCAGTCATTATAAAGTTTTTATTAGTGCCGATGTTTGCCAGTACTTGAACACCTTCAGTGCTTTAACCACGCCCTGATGATGATCCATATGTTTGGGTTGGAACGTCGGCACTAATAAAAACTTTATAATGACTGTGTTCTGAATATTTATCACCTCTTTTCTATAAATAGTTTTAAAACTTGCCATGTTTGGAAAAAACATCCGTCAGTTTTTAGTGATTAGTCCTTTTGTTTGTCCTCATAAATTTATAAGATTTATAATTAGTTTGTTTAATGTTATTAATAAACATCTTTTTCCTTCTTACTCATGAAGGGTTCAATTGAGTCAAAATTTTTTTTACGAAGTTCAAAAAAAAAAGTCTGCCAAGTAAGGTCAGTATAGCTTCCTCACTATTTTCATTGGCAAAAATGTTTCTATATTACAAGGTATACAATTTTTCGTATGAGGACAAAATCTTAGTGAGAACCCGATTCGGAAATAGTTGCCCTTCAACATTTGATTTCCACGAATTTCATTTATCAGCTAATATTAAAATGTGAAAGAGTGCCCTATTTGAAGATTTCACATTGATTATTCTTAATTAAAAAAAAAAAAAAAAATGCATAATGAGCATACATTTCACTACTGATAATGCAAAAGGTTGTAAAAACTCGTTATTTCTTTATGCTTTATTGGTATAATTTCATATTTTATTGCCAGCTGCTATTTTCCATAGTAGCAGACTACTTATATCATTTGCAGACTACAAAATGTCACCTTTAGCACAAATAGAATAAAAGTTGAAAATTTTTACATACGACCTTTTGCACTAATAGTAGTGATATATACTTAACAGGAATGTTTTCAGTTCGTACTTAAGATGGAACTAGAAAATCCATAAGAAAAATTCAACTTGTTTGTTCGGAGTTAACGAGACCAATATTTTTCTTCAGTCAGAACAAAACGCTTTATGCTATAAAATTCAAAAATATGGGTGAAGTTCACATAACTTTGATATTCAAGGAGAAAATCGAGACCCATACGAACTGGTTAAACTTCGATGGAAATAAACACAATCACAAATAAGACGTTGTTTTCTTTTATAAACTCAAGAATATAAATTACTTGAAATATACTGAAAATCAAACGAAATCTAATTAACGGCAGTAAGTGTCATGCCAGTAACGTTTGGAATCGACCAAACAATACAGCATCAATCAATTTTTTCAATAAAATCTAAAATTTTATAAACCCATAACAATATTGAAATTCTAACTCCCACTCCATATGATCACTGCCTTCAATATTTTGCAGCCATTATATTGTTAACAATTATTTATACTAATTTTAATTATTAAATGGAATTCAATGAAATTGATACTAATTTATTTCTATACAGTTCTCCAAATTTCCTCCAAGTTTGAGTCAGATTGAATTCACAGTTTTCAAGCTATAGGCATATCAAATAACACATTTTTTGATCTGAAAGTGGAAGTTTTTTTTTTTTTTTTTTTTGGAGTAGTAGATAGAATTTGATAAAATTGATGCCTATTTCATTTTACATTTGCCAATCCCTAAATTCCCTCCAAATTTGAGCCAAATTGAACTTGCGGTTTTAGAGATATAGACTTATCTAGGAAAACAGGTTTGCACTTATATAAGAGAAAGCAATGGACAGAATTCAATCAAATTGACCCTACATTATTTTTTCACAAATACCTGCCTTTTTTCCAACTTTGAGCTAAATCGAACGAGCAGTTTCTGAAATATTGGCTTACCTACAAAAATGTTTTTGTGTAAGCGTAAGCGGAAGTGCTGGTTTCAATTTAATAAAATTGATATGGGACCATCTAGGCACCAACCTCCACAATTCCTGAAAATTTCATGAAAATCGGATAAACAGTAGTATGTGATATGTCCATTACATCGATTTGATTAAAGAAAACGAACCAAATTTTATCCTTGATGTCGGAAACGTAAAATGCAAGTCAAATTTTTCGATTCTGAGCACAAAATTTTTTTAATCTCTCGCATGAATACAATGCTTCCCTTACCTTCAGTAGTGAGGAAGCCAAAAAAAACCTGCTTAATTACAATGTTGAACTTTTGTGTCATATAATCTATTATATTATTTGTCTACATATTATTATTTCTTTGTTTTCTGCTACCAGTTTTATAGAATATTTGATTAACAGGAGAATGAGATGCTGAAGACTGAGTGGGACTTCAGGATGGCTAACCTCCTTACTCTTTGGTGCCACTTGTCCAGCAGCCTAATCAGCAGTAATAAATCAACTTGTCGAGATGAAGCTCTCATCAGTTTAGTTACCAAGCTACCAACATTGGCTACCAGGTGGCATTCTGGTCGAGATTACAACATTATACCAATAGTCATAGAGCTCATCAGTACCATAGCCAAGAATACATCGGTAATTTTTACATTTTCTTGTACTAAAAATAAATTATGCATGTGTTACTGCAGTATTTAATTCTTTGAATTTCGAGTCAGTGATATTTTAATAGGTCATAATGATGCGCCTAAACACAATTACTTAAGCGTTAAATATAGTCAAATTTTTTTTTAATCAAATAAAAAACCTCAATTATATTGTTAAACTTCTATGTCGTACTTTGAACTTTTTGATTCAATGCATTAAATTTTAACAAACCAAGAAATAAATACTTGAAGACATGCATTACTAAATCCAGGGTAGATGTTAATGTGGAGGATATACTGAAAGTAGACACTATAAAAAAATTAAATCAACTGTATTATTTCATATAAGGCTGTTCGTTGAACTGTTGTGCGATATAGTTAATCATATAAACAGATATTAATGTATATTTATATTGTTATTTGTTTTATACCTCTGGGATATTTTTGAAAAAAAAATTGAATTTTACAAAAAAAGACGTCTTCCTGTATATTGCATTTATTTTTCCTTTCTGGGGCAACCGGTTGGTACCGTGCTCCATCTCATTTTTCTAATAGTGTCACTGATTATTTAAATGCAACTTATGGAGACCGAAGGGTTGGTTGAAACGGACCTATTAAATGGCCAACACGATCTCCGGATTTAACGCCATTAGATTATTTTGTGTGGGGCTGGATGAAGTCTATGGTTTATTCTGCGGCAGTTGGCACGCATGAAGGTCTAAGAAATCGGATCTTTTAGGCTATATGGGATTTTCCTGGACCGGAGAGTGAGGGCGGGGAATTTTAAATCCCCTCCGGCACCGGGATGCGAACTCATACTTTTTTAATCTTCTCAAATCTCTTATCCGGTTGCCAGACAACTCGCAGTGCAGTGCACATGCTTTAGCCCATTCGGCCACCCTGCCCCCTAAGAAATCGGATCTATCAAGCACCATCCTAATGCTATACGAACAGCCAGGGAAGCATGGATTCATCATGCTGAGTGTTGCATTCAACAAAACAGAGGCCCCTTTGAACAGTTACTCAAAATATTGTAATAATAATAAATAATAAATCTTTAACCTTTGATATCTGGTTAATAAATAAGTTTGAGATATATGTTAATATGAACTTTTTTGTTTATTTTGTGTTAGTGAACACATACCTGAAATAGTGTTGTGCAATTACGAAACACTCAGTGGGTATATATATATATATATTTACAACTTTTCTTTAATCGACCTTTGAGTATTAAATTTAAGCATAATTATTTAATTGGAAATAAGGTCACTTATTAATTATTCAATAAACTACTGTGTTTATTCGACGTTTTGATCCCAGTTTTTTTTTTTATAAGTTAACAATGGAATCCTCTTCAAAGCTCAAACCAGGGACACACCGACAGTCACAGCACTGTCCTCTAGCACACACATATATATATTGTTTACTAATCTGTTATTATATTAGTTATACTTAATGTTGTGGACGTTGTTAATGTTATGTTTGAACGCAGTACTAGACTCAAGATCTAACTTTGTTAATAATACATTTATATTTATTTGTACAGGAATTTCCTTAGACAAATAAATGAACTATTCTATTCTATTCTAACTTCTATGTCATATAATCTATTATATAATTACTGTTTGTTGCAGATATCTTTAAGAGCGATTGCCCTCGACAGTTATCTTATATTGCTGCAAGCTATTCCTTTACCTATTGAATGCAAAGAAACTTTAGTTACGCATTTGAATCACTGTTTAGATGCCATGTTTGCCCTCTATTTGTTCAGGACAGCATTGCTTGTTGATCGGCTGCCAGCATTTATGCAACGCTTTAGGCAGTATTTGGTTGCTTTGGCATTTGTGTGTGACCCTTCCATCACACAGGACTTCATCAAATTAGCGACCCCAGTGGCCGATAAAATGGAAAGGTGCGATTATAGTTAATTCATTACAAATTAAGGAAGTATAATAATGAGATTGTTTTTTAGAATGTTTATATAAGTGAAAGAAAAAAAATGATTTCATATTTAATTGTTTATTCAAGGCCTTTCAAAATAATACTCTGAGCGTGACAGAATATCCTTGCGCTGGCCACTCTTATCATTATTTTCTCATATCATTGACAAGGACCTTTCTCTAGTTAAAAAGCCATCCAATTTATAGCAAAATTCTGGTCAGAAAAGTTTAGTTATGTCTGTAGAATAACAGATGATATTAAATTACCTAATTGAACTATATTTTTTTTTTAAATACATATATATATGAATGTTCCAGAAAACTCTTCTATCATTGCTTTAAAATCCTTAGTATTATGTTATGACATGAGTTCAGTAAGTAGTAAGATCTTCAATAAATTCTCTCTATTTCCTAACATATGACAGCACCATTACTTTGTTTTATTATATTTCAGATGTTAATAAAACAATGAGAACTTATTCAAGGTCCTAATAACTATTGTGATTTCATTAACTACTTCTCTTTTTTTTTTATATTTCAACTACATCTGGTGAAATTGTTTACTTGGTTTGTTTTATATATATTTCGGGACAGCTACAGATTGTTTGTATTTCTTGACTAGCTCATTTTAATTTATTTTTTAAATTATTATTATGAACTCTAGAAACTTAAATTATAAATACTTTTTGGAATACGAAATATATTAACTCATATTAAAATGAGTTCTTTATTTATTTAATTATTATTTTTAGGGCTGCTACAACAATGGTTAAGAGGCAGAAGGATTTCGCTCGACTATCACCATATATCATTGCAGATATGATGAACATCTTTCAGCGTTATAATATTTGTTCTGAAATTAAGGTAAGTGCACATAATTTTCTTAACTGCCATTAGGTTTTGTTCATTTTGATAGATAAATCTTAATGATTACCGTTTAAAAAAATTAAATTAAATTAATATTTTATGTTCTTAAATGATTTTAAAGATTATACGGCTTCTACCACTTTTAGGTAATGTGTCATCATTTTAATTTTAATTTTTTTTTTTTAGTTCTCTTACACAAATATTATCAACGCTTTCTTATCAATATGTGATAAGCATGGAATTTCCTACTTGAAAGGTGCACTACCCATTGGTCAACAAGAACTTTTCAATAACATCTATGAAAACTACAATAAATACAATAGATTTGTGGGAAAAATTTAATGTATTTTTTTTATTTGCTTTTATTTATGATTTGTACATTCCTGTTTTAAATATTTTTAAATGATGTTCCATACTGTTATTCTTTATGTTGTTATTGTGTACAGCTTTGATACCTACTTACTCTTGCTTAGTAGTGTAAATATGTAAGATATTGTAATTACATTTTTTTCAATTGTTATTTCATTTACTGTATTCATTCAATAATACCTACCTTGATTTTGTTTTAATACATGTATAAAATGTTTATACTTCAAGTATGTGCCTCTAAAATATAATGTGGCCATAATTACCTATTTGGTATTATAATACGCTTATTTTGTTTTGTTTTTTTCTTTTCCCATAAGTTTAGATAACTAGGTCCTAGTGGAGTGGTAAGTAATCTTCTTGGTTTGTGGACCACTTAATAGAAGTGGAGTTAGTATAGGGCTACTCTTACATTGCATTAATTAGTGATTGTTACAGTTTCAAAATAGTAAAATTAAAACTAATCCTCATCATTTAATTGCTATGTGAGGTGAGCCCTCTCCAGCTCTGTCTTTCTCTTCCAATAGAACCTTCTGGTTCATTGAAGTCCTCTTCTCTGGAAGCACATTTTTACTTTATCTTCCCACGTAGTTCTAGGTATCTTTTCTTCCTCTTCTTTATTTTCGTTATACATTGTTTTGTAAGGTAAGTCTCACTAGCGATTATGACCAACTATCTATAAAAGGTGTTCTGGTTGTCTCAGTCTATTCTCTTCTATTACTTTGTGATGGTCGAATTCACCTGCATGTCACAAACAGAGCCATTAGTTCACCTGGTAACGCCATATGTGCATGCTAACTCTTTGTACCTAAAAGATGTATTTTTATTTCTTAGTATTGTAATGTAATAAACTGAAGTTCTATCTTATAAATATTTATATACCTTGTGAATAATTTTAAATAATATGAGAAGGAGTTGGTCGGGGGATGCGGTCAAATAAATACTAAATTTTTACAATAGTATTTTAATGGTTATGCCGACGTTTCAACCAACTTTGTAGGTCTTCATTAGGGCTACAAAATGGGTCGAAAAGTCGATGTAACCATTAAAATAAAATACTATTGTAAAAATTTAGTATTTATTGGCTACAGCTCCTCATATTATATCAGTCAACCATCTCTACACCATTTAAATAATAGTAACTGTAACAACTTTTGCTAGCCGATTTTCACATTCTCCAATGTGAAGTGAATACTGCAGTCCTCAAAATTTTAATTCTGAGATCTTGGATCTCCATATTTCAGGATGTCAGACCTTCCCTGCAGTTGGATCAGTATATTTTATATATTTTTTTTGGTTCTATATCAATCTGCGGTTTATTTCGCTAAACACCTTTAACTTTTCCTATCTTTGTACAAGGCCTGGATGCTTCCCTGTCTGCTTGTTCTCCTATATACTAAGTCTGGAGACTCATCCTGTCTTAACCTCTTCCTTGATCCACTAAATCATTTTACCTTAATTTGAATAGGCTCTGTCCAGCCCTTCTGATCACTGTAATTATACCTACCTCGACAACTTCATTGATTGGCTTACCGATGAAGTACTATCTGATAGTAATGTTGCAGATTCAATCTCTTTTTGTTTTCCCCTCGATGTTTTGGATCATTTTTGCCACTTGTTAGAAATATAAATTCTTGATTCATAAATTTTTAGTCGAGGTCTATGATTCTGAAGAAAACATCAAAATGAGAAAACTTTGTAATCATTTTAAATATTCTACCTACAGCTTCGCTTTGCTCGGTCACATTCAAATCAATTAGACATTTTTATTTAAGGGTACTCTTAAGATATTTGAAGTTTTTCCACTTGTTTCAGAGTTTTTTCTTCAGCCCTAATAACACGCATAATTCTTGGATTCTTTCCAACCTTCATCAGTTTCATTTTTGTAGGGCTTATGACGTGATTGATCTTCATCCTAATTCTTTTAAACCTGTTGATGAACACTAAAATATAATCTGAGAAAATAATGATCTATTCTGTAAAAGCATGTAGTGAGAGGCTTTTTTGGCCTCAGATTGGCATATTTTAGTTGGAACCTATTCATTTCTCCAAATAGCAGAATCTATAACCCCAATTAACAATAGTGAACTCTAACTACAACCCTCTCCTATACCTATGAATGAATATATATATTTTCTCGAAATTAAAATACATTTTTATCTTAATTATATATACAATAAAATAGCATGGACATCGTCCGTCTGCTTGGAATTAGCTGTTGCTAGTAACAGTTCAGTACATATATTCATAAATATAAGTGGAAGCATGGTAAACATTAATAAGACAAAATGACTACGTATAATCTTCGACAACTACCATATATACACGCATATATTGTGATATTGTTTAATAAAATAGATAAAAAATATTGAATTATAATTTCTATATATGATGATAAATTTTATGGACGCTGAGGGCTTAAGTGTTTAGTAGACTGAATTACCAATGGTCAAATAATTGACTGATACATCAAATATTTTAGTTAATATGAGAATAAATTATGTAATTGAATTAAAATTAAAATAATTTAATATTAATATTGTTTCTTGATACAGTCTCTGGTAGCTTTGATCTCATTTATAATCATTCCTATTCTTGATCTGCTAATGTTGCTTCACTTGAAGATGGTCTTCATCTGTTCTATGCTCTCTAGACAACTGTGATGATGTTTTCTAGAGATTCCGGAACTGATGGATGATGCATCCTGACCAACAGCGTGAAGACGACGCCTGAGATGAGACTAGAGTTAAGAGATTTTGGAATATGGGTTTCATCATGAGATGTCATAAAATCGTCTATAATGGCTAGTGTATTAATTTAAAATTTCATTCTGTGTCAACTTTAATATGGTCTACAAGTATTATGGAGTTGAGTCATATTTCCAACAAATCCTACTTTATTTTATCATAAATGTTTGGTATCTGGTAAAAAATAGCATCGGCCTTTGGTTCGTTATGCATTTCGCCACAGCGGATGCTTTAAACTTTGATTGAAATGTTGGCATTGATTAATTTAAGGATCCTTATTAGTGTGTTATTCAATTTCATCTCTGATCCACCCATAACCAGCTTCTGCTCATTTGTGTCTTCATTTATAATTTAAAAATGAATTATACTTCCTAATAATAATTAGAACCAGATTAAGCATAAAATAAAAAATAATCCTAATCCTAATGTACATGGATTAATAAAACTGAAAATGTTCATTATGATGTTAATAATATTTTTTACTCTGTTTCAGTAAATTGTAATATTTTTTTAAAGTTCCTGTTTTATTTTATATTATATAATAAAATTTTTATATCTAATCTATAATTAGCAGCAGTTTGAAAATTTATTTTTTTGTTATTCCTTATGATTTTATTCATTTACATCATGGTTCTTTTTTATTCTACCTCGTTCTTCGTTTTATCTATTCTAATTATTACTAGGATGTGAACAAATTTCTAAAATTATAAATGTAGGCATTAGAAGTTGGTTGGGGGTGTAGTCAGAAACTGAATTACAAACAAATATGAAACCTTATTTAACTGAGTGCTGACATTTCAATCCAAGTTTTAAGTCTTCAAGGCAAAAGGCGTCAGTATCCTATGGCAACTGCCATTTATCGGATATAGAACCTTTAACTATGACTTATATCATAATACCAAAAAATGAGAATACTACAGTTGTAACTTTATGAAAATTTCTATTATTTTACTTAAGTAAAGTTTTGAGTTGATCTAAAAGTTTGACAATGCACCCTGGTATGCCATAAAACTTGGGCACAATAAAAAGAGATTTCTTAGTTGTTTTTATATCAACTTAATCTCGAACCAACTTCTACTATTGTTAGATCTTAAGTCAACAATATTTAGATATCATGATAAACTTAGACAATTATTGACAAAACATTAGGAAAGATGTCTCTTACTTAATTACTGTTCCATATAATATTGTTCTGAACGGTTTTAATTTTACTAATGAAATTTAGAGACTGAGAGAATAATTAGCATTAAATTCAAAAATGAAAAATAAGGAAATCAGAGGTAAAATGGAGGCAATGGCCTTACATGATTTTTAAATAAATTAAACATTGTTAACAAATAACACTTTTTTTTTTTTAATTCAAACTAGATAAAAAAATTACACTTTTTAAGAATATAATTTTTTTTAGTAGATAATCTTAAACCACATAACAAATATAAAAATGTGGTGTGGTGCGCGCATCACCCTCTTAGCAGAAATAAGTATTTTCAGATAAAAGGAAAGTGAAAGTAAGAATTATTAATGCTATATTTTTTTATATTTCATTGTGGATATTTTTATTTGTTTAAATACCCGTATATATGCAAATTTTAGTATTTATATCGCTGTAATCTATACAATTAAATATTAAATAATACCAACGAAAACATATAGGAAAACTGCATATATATATCTGCATAATATTATCGGAGTCCCTATTATATTTAACCCATGTTACTATGGAAACCTGTTCTGATCTTCGGGCGCGGTCTCATATCTCTCTGGTTCTTTCATTACAACTATTCTCTTTTAGTTAATTATTCATTTCTTTCATATTTTATATTTAACTATTTTTCATGTTAGAGATAAATAGTTAATTGTTTCAAATAAAAAAAATTAAAGGTGCTTTTGAGGAACCTAATAAGTTAAGGAAAATCAATGAGAATAAAACCTATGTAATATTAAAAACTGCTTAATTTTATACTGATATAATGAATTTAATCAAAATTGTTGGAACCATTTTTGAGAAAATAGTAAAAATGTGTTTCATCGATAACAAAAGTGCTATTTCCGGTTAGTCAATTTCTACGAAAAAGTTGCTATATTATCTCAGTTATATAAAAACCTTAAATATGCAATTTAATTTCCATATGACTTTGTTTTTGAGCTAGACCTGTCACATACAGACCATTTTGCGGAACTTGGTTATTTGGACTCAGGAGACCTCAAAACATGTATTTCTTGTTTTTGTTTCGTACTTTAGAGTTTCCCATCCGCTGTCAGTAACAAGAGAAATAAATCAAATATTTTAGTGTAGTGCTAATGTCATTATTAGTTGTTAGATAATTGTGTTCCTTATAATTTGTGAAATTTATAAACGTACCTACATAATACATGCTAAAACTATGAATGCAAAATAGTTGTTCCCCCTACAACTTCAATAAAACTAATGAGCTAAATGATTTCATTAACTTTCTGAAAGCATAAACAATGGTTTTTGTGGTTAATCAATAAGAAGAAATATTAGCTATATTTTAATAAAAATAATGTCATAGCTTGGAACAGAAAATAGAAAATGGACATTAAATTATGAAAAACATGAACAAATCAGAAACGAACCATTTAGTGATTTAATTTATACAACTAAAAAAATGGTAACTGTATTATACAAGAATAGTTTAAATGAAAAACAATTTTCTATTCTTTCTTCATGAATAAACACTTATTTTTTCTCAATATCTTATTTTTCTTGTAGATCAACTCATTCCAAATTGCTTAAAATTTATATTTTTCTTCTGATATTCTGGTTTTTTAGTTATTCTCATTTTTAATTTCATATTTTTCTTAGGTTTCTTCATTGTGTCCTTTATTGACTGTGTGTTTTATCACAAGAATCAAAAGCATTCAATCTGTTTATGTTGGCAGGCAAATAACAAACAATATACCTGAAAAAGAAGTTAGATGTTAAAATATAAAAAAAAACAGTAAAATTAAAATTGTTTTTCTTATCTCGATTAAAGATCAATAAATATTATTAAATTGTTGAGCTAATAGATCTTTCATTTTTATTCTTTAATAGTCAGTATCTAAAAATAATGACGTTTCCCTCAGAAACCCACATCAGAAATATTATACTGAAAAATAAACCGCTATATACATTAGTTCTTAGACTTGCTTAATAGAAAATAATAAATACAAACACATGAATGAATAATAACAATTTGCTGGACTAAAATAATTGTTGAAAAATGAACAAGATAGTGGCATTTTCTAAGTGGCACCATAAGAATCATGGCTAACAGAAGTATAAAGCAGATATACCTGTATATCGCTCTTTGATCTGTAAAAAATTGTAAAGAGGATATCCTCAGTGAAACTGCACGAAAATTGATGGGAAGAAGAAAATAATAGGAAAGATATACCAATACACGGGCGGATCTACGGGGAAAGGAGGGGAGTTTTCGGGCTGAAGCCCCCCCCCTCTTAAAATGGCAAAATATAACCATGTTTTATGAAAAAATATATTAAAAAATGATCTGCTAAAGTATTATTGTTCGTTTAATTGCATTTAAAAGGACTTAAGGAATCACTTAAACACCATTTCATATAGATTGTTAGTTTCTTTCTTTTTTTCCAAAGTAATTATCGTCATTTTTATGAAAAAAAAAGCTTTCGGGCTGAAGCCCTTCCCAAAATTAAATCCTGGATCCGCTAGTGTACCAATACATTGACTAAAACTTCTGCACCAGTCGATCATTATTATCAAACAATTATTTTACTTTTGGAGTAATGTTCCCCTGAACGATTCAAATTCATATATAAAGAACTCTTGATTATAAAAGTACTGTTCAATACTATAGAAATTTATAAAAGAAATATTAATACTTCTTTTGAAATCTTGTTAATTAACAGATAAGTATTTAACTGTTTATCTGCGCTTTTAAATTGATAAGTACACGATAAAGTGGTAGAAGAAAATTAATGTTAATCGTTACCTGGTATGATGTTTTTGTACTCTTGCCATATTTTGATTTAATAATTGTAGTTAGTTTAAAGGCAAATGTGATGGTGCAGCTTCCATTTCCCGCCATTTTTAAAAGTTGGTGTATTTTTTCGTTTTGGTATGATACTAAATACTGTATTACTTGACAAAAATAAAAGAATTTTTAATAATAATTACTTTTTAAATTTTATATGTGTGCAAAGAAATTCCATCCGAGTTAATTAATTTTGTTTATAGAATAAATAAATAAAGATAACAATACTCATAATTATGAAAGGTATTCAAATGAAATATTAAAGTTGATTGTGATAATTCCATTGATTTTTTTTACTAAATATATACATATAACGTATATATATATATATATATATATATATATATATATATATATATATATTTAATTTTTTTTTTTATGTTGGTGTATTGAAAAGGTATTCCCTTCTCGAAATCCGTTACATTACAGGTTGCTATTCAAATCTGTTTCTCTTAAAAAAATCAGAAATATAATACGTTTATTACGGTAAAATAATGTTAAATATAGTTTATTCTTTAGAACTGATATTGTTATAACGTTTGATTAGAAAAATTAATCTAAATGTTAGTTTATTGTAGCAGCAATTCGTTAGGATTGGGACCAATTATAGTTGCAGGCCACTCACTATATTCTTTTGTAGCTTATGCTCCTAATTACAGTTTAAGGTTTAATATTAATGATGTTAGTTGTTTAATTTTACTAAATATAGTTAGGATTATAATCTTAGTGGTAAGAATATAAGTAATATTTTGATAAATCAATATTCGTTTTATTTGCTATTTACTGTTGAATATTGAAGGTACACTTATTTTCACATCACTGAAGGAGAAATCATTATATATATATTTGAGTCAATTTGCACAATTGTAATGACCTAAACAAATGGAAACATTTTAAGAGCAATTAATTTCCTTGAAAATTATATATTCTTGAATGAAAATTATATACTTAGAAATTAATTGCCCTTATATTTTTTCCATTTATTCAGGTCATTATAACGTTTCGTGCAAATTGGCTCATTATCAAAAGTTTATGACATATCTAACATATTCCCATATTATATAATTTTATTATTGTTTACTTTCAGTACAATAATACAAAACCAAACCTGATATTAGCAATTTATTTGCAGATAATTAAATATATGTAAATTCAAAAAACCTGATACTAGGTAGAGTATCTGAGGTACTACCTAGTATCGAGTTTTTTGAATCGACAAGCATTTGATTAAATTTGAATAAAATGCTAATAACAAGTTTGGTTTTGTATTATACTGAAAATAATGACAATTCAATTATATATTATGGAAATTTGTTAGATATGCCTTAAACTTTTGATAATGAGCCAATCTGCACAAAATGTTTTAATGACCTAAATAAATGGAAAAAAGTTATGGGCAATTAATTTCCTTGAAAACATTGTATATTATTACATTAAGTTTTCTCGAAAAACAGTGTTGGAATAATAACTAAATTTATATGTGTGTGTGGGCTTATGGGTTACACACATATAAATTTAGTACACATATAGATTGGTATAGATAAATAAAATTAAAATTATTATTCAGGATGTTTTAGTTTTGAGTTTTAAAATTTAAAGATTTACAATTCTAATGTAATTTTTTGTATATAGGTTTTTTTTTTTTTTCTGAAAAAGAGGAAGTGGAATAGCTTAGTGAGTAAGCCACTGCACAGCAATGCTTCCTTGTCCTGGGTTCAAGCCTGCCTATTGCAAGTAATTATTTATTCTGTCAAGTCAGTGGTCGAATAACCTTGTGATCCGGTGACCCCAGGACACACCCAGCCTCTATTCTGTAAGAATTCTTAAATAAGTATTAATTAAGGAGAAAAATCTGGTTGTTGAGTTTTATATCTGTTGATCACCTCCTTGCACCGTTGACCAAGAAACTTTATTTACAAATTAATGAACCCATAACTTTCCATAGATTGTAATGGTATATTTTTTCTTATTTGTATATATATTTTTTTTTCTCTTTTTCTCGCCTCTATCCTAAAGGGTCATTGGCGTTTTCTATAATTTATATTCTATTATAGTAATTTACAATCTTTAAAAATTTTTAAACACGATAGAGACTCGCTCTTTATTATCTTGTAGAATATCGTTTAGTGTTTTTACTAGTTCTATTTATTTTCTGTGGCTTTCGAATTGGGGACATTCTACTAGAAGGTGTTTCACAGTTTGCGGTGTATTATTGCATTTTTCGCAAGTAGAAGCTTCTTGGCCTCTTAAAAGAAAGCTATGAGTGAACTGGCAGTGCTCAATCCTAAGGCGGCACAGTATAATTTCTTCACGCCTGGACCTTCTGGTGCTAGTGAGCCATTTATCGCAATTAGGTTTTACTTCTTTCAGCTTACACTCTTTGATTCCCCACTCTTTTTCCCACTCTGCCAGTTGTTTTTTCTTTATTTCATATACCCAATCTTCTAAAGTGATATATTTCACTCTAGTCACTTCCTCTTTTTCTTCTCCACTTCTTGCTGAATGGGCTGCTTTGTCAGCTTTTTCATTCCCTAAAATTCCGCAATGAGCTGGTAACCAAGACAACTGTTATTCCTTTATTTTTTACCTCCCACTAAATGTTGAATATTTCCTTAATTATGGAGTTTCTAGGATATGGGTTATCAATGGCAGTTAAAACACTAAATGAGTCCATCACAACTACCCAGTAGTTCTTTTTAGCTTCACAAATAAGATATAAAGCATTCATGATGGCAGTCGCCTCTCCTGTGAATACGGAGGATAATTTAAACAGTAAGTGGTTCTCTTTACTCCTTAAAGCACATCCTATGCTATACCGTTTTTTGGATGCATCCGTATATATAAAATCAAAATTTTTATATTGTTCCGTTAGTTTTAAAAAAGATTTTTGTATTTCAAGTGGATCTGCCTTTGCAATTTTAGTCATGGATTTATTAATCAAGGGTCTGTCTTTTTTTCCAACTCAGCATTAACCCCTTACAGCAACCCCTTACCTTTAACCCCCCTTTAATTCTGGGATGGGTCTTATAATGTTCATATCCATGTTTATTTTAGTTGTTGCCTTCTAAATTACTTGTTCAAAAATGTTTTTTTCTATATCTTTAAGTCCTTTTCTTTCTGATTCTTCTGAAAATAAATATGGAGTTAATGGGTGATGGGAAGATGCTTTCAATTTGGCAATGTATTTGAGAGATAGGTATTCTCGTCTCAAGTTTAAGGATATTTCTCCAGATTGAGCATAGATGCTGACGACTGAGGAAGTTCGAAACGCTCCAGTGCATATTCTAAGGGCTGAATTATGTATAGAATCTAACATCCTCAATATTGTTATGCTGGTTGTACTATATATCTGCGCTCCATAGTCTATTTTACTGCATATTATAGACTGGTATATTTTTATTAGAGTGCATCTATCGGCACCCCAGCTAGAGTGTGAGAGATATTTGAAAATTCTGAGTATTTTTGTGCATTCCTCTCTCAAATATATAATAGGTTGTATCCAATTCAGTCTCTTGTCAACTATCATTGTGTCAAGTGTCATCATAGATACTTGTGATTTTCTGTATACTTCATTGAAGAACCTTCTATAAATATTTGTGGATTATTCTGCTGATACCTTCGACTTCTACAAATGTGTAAACATTTAGACTTCGAAGATATCTTAAATCCAGTTTCCCTTGACCAATCTTTTATTCTATCCATCACTTCTTGCAGCCTCCACTGTATATAGGGAATAGATTTGCTTCTGGCTGTGATAACAATATCATCGGCAAATAGGAAACATTTGATTGGGGTCTTGATAATGGACCCTATACCATTAAACGAGAAGGAATAGGGTCGAACTAAGAGGAGATCCTTGTGGGTTACTCCTTTTAATGGCTTGACGATAAAGTATTTCCTACCCTTACTGAAAATTCCCTATTAGTTGGAAAATTTTGTATATAAGACCATTTATATTTAAATTAATTGTATAAACAAAATTATAGCCTGTAAATTTTTTAGAACATATGGTTTTCATGTTCTATTTTCTATTTTGTTGTACATTTTCTTTCATTCGTAAAATCTTTTTATCACTGGAAAATCATAAAATTTTAAAAAACATACATATTTTGTTGTCTTGAAAATATATTACTCAAAATTTGGTAATTCATAAAAAAATTGTTTTTAAATTATTGGAATTTCTGTTTCATGTATTAAATACTTTGGTTTTATACAATTGTTGGCAGACATGACAATTTCTTTTGAAATTCTTTCTTTTTTCCTATATAAATTTATTATTCTGAGAAAACTTCAAAACCAAAAACTTTAATCCATTTTTGCCTTCTTTTTTACATCTAACGACATTTATGTCAAGGCCCACTTTGCTCGTTTAAAATTTCAGAAACATTTCTTAGGATTGTCTAAAAATAATTTAAAATTCATTCAAATGTTTAAAAAAAATATTATCGTTTACTTTGCATTTGGTTTTA